GGCTTTCTTTTACGTTTTGGCGACTTCATAATCCACTGTCATTCAACTATTACATTACTTCAATAAGAGCAACATTTCCTTGCTTTAAGTAGTCTATTTAGGCTAATAGGATGTCAATTAACCAAGCGAGTGTTAATGCAAGTGTTGTTTTTCATTATTAGGCAAGTGGAGGTTTTCATTAGGGTATTAGGCTACCTTGATTTAATTTATTTTAATTCACGACTTTTCTCTCTCTCTGCCTTTTTAGAATTACACTTCACTGGGGCCTGCACAAACATGTCATTATATACGCATTTCGATGACATTACTATTATTATTTTGTGTAGGACACAGACATATTTAGATGTCGTAATTCCATGATTTGTTGCGTCTGTGTTATGATCCGCATGATGGCCCTGTCATCTAACAACCAATCACCGTGATCATTGCGAGGAAGCTCGTGCCTGAGAAGTGACGTCATCCATAGCAACGAAGACTCACTCTTAGTTTAGGAGTTGTCATTTTTCCTTACTAAGAGTGGGTCTGAAAGGCGCTGTGAATAACTTTTTTTCAGAGAAAACTCCTAGCTAAAATATTTTAGTGCGATTTAGGAGTACTCCTAGTGGTAAGATAAAATTCTTTGTGAATACGGCCCCTGAACTGCACCCAGTCTGGAAAAGTATTTAAAAGAAAAATGAGTGTTAACGACCTTTGCCGGTGTTGCAAAAAGAATTTAAGGATTCGCGGAGTACTGCAAAAACAAGTTTTGTGACAGAAAATGTGAATGTATATACGAACAAGTTCTCCGTTTAGGATTAGATCTCGACAATAAAGCCAACAAATCTGCTCGCATTTGTCTGACCTGTCTCAACTTTATAACATGGTTGGAGCGCATCTTGACTGATTTTAATAAATGGAGAGATGACGAAAGACACCAGGCTGAAGAAGCGTGTTCATTTGAGTCTTAAGAGAAAAGAGACCGGGAAACAAAAAATTATGTTTTAATGATGTATTTAATGATGATTTAAATACAAAATGATGAGTAGCATCTAATAATTTATAATTAAAAGAAATACACCGCTTATAAGGGGTACAGTGACTACCAGTATGGGTATGGTGTGCCGCGTGCGAGTAGTAAAACAAAGCGTCACCATTGTTTGATGCAGCGATGGCTTTGACATGAGTTGCATCACCGTGACATGAGTTGCATCACCGTGATGCCCATTTCGGTTGCTTCTTTTACTTGGTCTTCCATGAGCGCGACCAAAGGAGAAACCACAATGACAACTGGGTTTTCATTGCCTCCCATATTCTTAACGACCATCGGAGCCAGCTGATAAATTAAACTTTTGCCGAATCCTGTAGGAAGGATGGAAAACACATCTTGACGATCGACAAATGCCTTTATTGCAGTTCTCTGTTCGTCTTTTAAAATGAATGCGCTGTCGATTTCTTCTAAAACAGACGCGATAGCGGAATCTATACATCTCTATTCTCCAGTTGCAGTCATCTTTGTTGAAAAACCAGTTCAAACCAAGCGCTCTTTGATGACGTGATTACGTAACTGCAGATCATCTGTCCATCATCGTATAAAGCCCGCCCTGGCAATTTGATTGGCCCGAACATTTTTTGACTGATCATAATTACTCCTCAATGGATCGAGTCCAGACCGAACTTCCCGACCAAAAAATGTTGTGGGCGGGGTTTGGGCTGGCATCCAGGCTAGTGCTGGACTAGATGGAATTGAAAATAGGTATCTTAAATTATCTTCTCATATTCTCATGTATCCACTTGCTGGTTTATTTAATCTTTCTTTGTCTACATGTGAGTTGCCTGTGATCTGTAAATGTGCACGCATTACTCCACTTCATAAGGGAGGTGATATACTTGATCTCAAAAATAACAGACCAATTTCTATTATATGATCTATATCTAAAGTTTTCAACAAAAAAAATTCATAAACAACTTTCAAATTATTTATGTATTAATAACATTCTATCATCATCTCAATCTGGCTTTAGGTCCAATCACTCTACAACTACTGCATTCACGGCCGCATTAACAATAGGGCTAGGCGGGGCTAAAGCCCCGGGGCCCAAGCAAGGAGGGGGCCCGTGATTGGCTGTGGAGCAGATTGACTACTTGCCTTACCACGCCCCCCACAAATTAGCCCTGTTATTCAGTGGCGCTTTGCCGACCGTATATTCCATGCATTACCATGGAATCATTATCATTAATATTATTGTAACCGTTCGCAAAGACCCGTCTTTTTTAGTTACTGTGTGACAATGCCAGGCGGCTCTCACGAGTCACGCACATAATGTTCTCACTCACGCAGTGGAAAATGCATCGCGGGGCAAAGACTAACGTTACACTGAGTGACTACGCGCCGACATACAAGAGAGAGCTCAGAGCAGCTTACTGTTGATATGAAACAAAGTCTCAACTTTCAAATATTGTCATTTAAGTAATTTAAACAATACCGTTTTTCAAGTTCAAGTCCACCGACGTTAATACCGACAGTTTTGTTGTCGGCCAAAATTGCGTATTCGGCGTTATGATTGGTCAGGTAGCTTGTCAATCAATTCACAATGCAGGGCATGATGAATTGAAACGTCACGTTTTAATTTGAAATACCATTCAAATACATTTATTCTATATTTAACTTGTGAACGACCGACCTGCTGCTGCACGTAGGCCTATCAGATGATGGCTGCCTGCTCCTTAATATAGGCTACGCAATCAATCGCCTACACTCACTTCATTCTAGACTATTCTTAAAATTGTCACGCATTATCTTCATCTAATAGCATAGATAAAAATGACATCTTTTAAAAAAAAAACATGTGCGAGTGGGGCTCAAAAAATGAATTTTTAAAAAGCTAAACAGCAGAGGAAACATGAGCAAAACATGAACCAATTTTCGGTAAGTTTGATTATTAACTTGATGGATGTATGATATTGCTTTTTGTGTTTAATCAAACTCTATATTCGCCTAAAGGGCTGGCGATAATATATCCGGTAGAAATATGTAAATTTTGCTGCGCCATGATGTAAGTTTATAATTTAAACACGTTTTTAAGCATTGTGGTTTAGATACAAATTATTTTAAACTGCTCAGGCACAGTAAGCAGCGGGAGAGAATTGTAAATGCTCGTTTTGAGACCATGGTGAACTTGAGACGGTTTTGCACAGCGGCAGCGCACTTGAGTAATAAAGCTAATAAAGCTGCTGTCACCATTTGTGTCAATAATGTTAATCAAAAATCAGAAAGAAAGTAATTTACTGCCCTTGACTGAATCACTTTTGTAAAATAAATAAGAATGAATGTTGAATTTATAGTAAAAATTATGTATTGTATATTTGATTACTTTTATACAATATAATATTCAGTGCTTTAAGTTTTTCAAGTAGGTCGATTTCTTATGTGCCTTTGTTCTATTGTTATTTGTGACTCTAGTCATCAGTAAGCTTGAGATTATTTTCTTAAGCTACCATTATTTTTTGTGATATTGAAATTGGTCACAAGAATTATGAAATTTTAGTTTAGAAAAATGTGGGGGGGGTTTTCTCTCTCTCTCTGTAGTTGGTGACCTAAAGTGGTGGGTGTGGGGCCCAGTGAGCTCTTAATGCGGCCCTGACTGCATTACTCAAGTGTACTAATGATGTGTTTTCAGCTTCAGATAATGGCAACCTCACAGTTGCTATTTTTCTTGATTTAACTAAAGCTTTTGATTTGGTTGATCGTTATTTGCTTTTAGGTAAAGTTTTGTGGTTTAAATCATATCTGCATAACAGAAAACAACGTGTTGTCCTAAATGGGAGTAAATCTGATCTTCTGATTCAACAAACAGGTGTGCATCAAATCAAGGTTCAATTCTGGGACCACTTCTTTTTTGTATTTATGTAAATAAATAATCTACCATTACTTCATAGAAAATGTCAGGTTCAAATAACAAATAAGTGCTTAATAAAACCAAGTCATATACTATGATTTTTGGTTCTAGACAGAAACTTAATCCAAAACCTGTTCTTGTGTTGTATCATGTAAAGACGGCACTCCTTTGCATAGAGTTGATACTATTAAATATCTTAAATATGGTTAATTAAATATTAAATAATTAAATAGGGTTTATGGCTTGATTCTAAACTTTCTTTTAAACCACACATTAATCATGTTTTACGTAAAGTCAATGTTGGAATGAGTATCTTGCATCGATCTCGAAATTGTTTCTCTGATAGTGTTCGTAAGACACTTGTTTCTCAATTGATATTTCCGTCATTTGATTATTGTGATGTGGTTTATCAAACGGAACATCTGATCTTGCCTCGCTTAATACAGCATACAATAGAATTTGCAGATTCGTTTTAGGATGCTCTTTTTACACACATCACTGTACAAGGTATAATTCACTCCAGTGGTTATCTTTGTGTGTGAGAAGGCATATTTATTGGCTTCAATTTATAATTAACTGTATTTATTTTAAATATCCTAGTTATCTACAACAATACTTTGCACCCTTTTCTTCAAACCACCAAGTTAGGCACTCTGTCCAGATTTATTTTCTTTTTCCTCGTGCAAAAAAAAAAAAAAAAACACTTGGCAAAAGAGCATTTATGTTTAAAGCCCCAAAAGACTGGAATAATTTACCTGCATCCATTACATCATTTCGGTTGTTTAAACTATCTTTATCATCTTATTTTAAGGTGGACTGCACATGTTATCATTAGACTCTCACTGTTGTTGTTGTTATGTTTACTGTTGTTTATGTTTATATTTATTTATATTTGTGATTGATGTTGATTTAAAATGGTATTTTCTGATCAGTATTTATTTTATGTAGATTATTGTTTATTCTGGTATCTTGGTGGTGTCTAAAGTAATTTTTTGTATTTATTTATTTATTGATAAATAAAAATATAAGGTTACTTTTGATGAGATTATGCATGTCAAGGTATTAATCCTTCTAAAAATAATTAAATCTGGGAAACCATTAAAAAACAATAACCAATACAAAATGCACCTGCTGCTCAAGATCTTTTATGCAATAAAAAACGTCAGAAGTGGAGTTAATTGCATACATTTTGTTAATTTAATCCGAACAAGTTAACTCATTGTCAGGTTTTATTTAAACTGAGGTCAAATGTGATGTTTCTGTTTTGATTGTCCAGTGTCAGGAGCGTCTGATCGCACACAGCTTGTGAGGGGACGGATTCAACGTGACTCCGACTATTCCTTTGAGATCCAGATCATCTCCAGACACTCCAGGTGGAGTTGTGAAGTGGTAGCTCTGAAGGAGGGAAGTGAAGAACAGGAAGAGCTCCATCCGGGCCAAACTCTCTCCCAAACAAGCCCTTCGGCCTGAGAGTGAGTGAGTGAGTGAGTGAGTGAGTGAGTGAGTGAGAGAGAGAGAGAGAGAGAGAGAGAGAGAGAGAGAGAGAGAGAGAGAGAGAGAGAGAGAGAGAGAGAGAGAGAGAGAGAGAGAGAGAGAGAGAGAGAGAGAGAGAGAGAGAGAGAGAGAGAGAGAGAGAGAGAGAGAGAGAGAGAGAGAGAGAGACTGTTTTTAATTCCAAATCAAATGTTTATTTCTCAAAAGACTGGGTGTTTAGAGTTTAGCGTATACCTGCAGAAAAGGGCATGAAAGCATCTCTCTTGACTAACTGGCCCTTCTCATCTAGGAAGTGTTCTGGGTAAAAGCTGTTCGGTTTCTCCCATTCGCTTGGATCCTTCAAAACAGACGTCAGCAGAGGAACTACAGTGGTACCCTAGAAAATTGGAGAAAAAAACAATGTTCAAGATGCACATGGTCTCGTTTCTAGGCCTACATATTAGGCCCAATCCCAATTATACCACTTACCCCATCATCTAGCCCAACCCCTAACACTTCGCCTTCCCCAGGGTTCTCAAGTTTTATCAAAAGCTTGGAGTGAGATCACATGCGGTTAGGGGAGGAGCCCTAATGGAGCCCCGCCCCCGCCCATCCCCGCCCCCCAATTTTACCCATTGTTCATAATTAACCAACACAAATTGAAATTATAACAATTGGTAAATCTGATAAATGACAGAGCAATTCATCACATCAAATATACTCTTTAATGTTATATATTTTAAAATTACAAATATACAAAAATTACAAAAATATAACAAATTGCTCCAAACAGTTTGGAAAAACAAATCTTTTTGCATTTTGAATTATTGTGTGGTGGGACATTGTGAACAAATGGACATATTAGAGTATGTGTGTGTGAGTGTGTTTGTGTGTGTGTGTGTACACAAGAGTACACAATCCAGCTTATGAAATGTGTTTTGTGTTGTAAGTGTTTGTTGCACATTTTGATGCCTTGCAACCTTTTTAGGGGCCTTACCCTTTGGTGCCCAGAATGATAAAATATATTTTTGCTTTTTCCCTGACATCTTTGAAAAATACAAATGCAATGGCAATGATTAATGTATGTTTTGACAGGATATAAAATATTACCCAGAGCACTTTGCTTTAATACATGTAGCCTTAACTAGAAAGACTATTAATACAGTATAATATTTAATTTAAAATAAAATGAAGAAATGCATTTTCATTCCTTCCCATACCCACTAACATTTCCCTTAGTTTCAGATAACGTAAGCTAGCCAAACTGAGCCAAAGCTTCTGGCCTGGTTGTGATCTATGATGCCTAGCTAGTAACGAACGCAATCTGGCCGAGATACGTGCTAGCGGCAGGAAACGTCACTTTGTGTGCCTGCGCCTCGAATACAACGTTATATATAAAGCTCGCAGGACAACTTGGTTGCCATTCCTTTTCAGCGTGAGAAATACACGGTGTGCCGTGTGTAGGGTGACCAGTTGAGATTGGCTGAAATTCTGGACGGGACGGGACGGGGCGGGCGGGGTTTGGGGGGGGGGGGGGGGGGTTCATATTTTGAACCAGGTTTTGGTTCAAAATATGTTTTGGTTCAAACCTGAACCAAACATATATTTTTATTCAAAGATTAACAGTCTGTCATTAGTCTTTAGTCTGCCACAAAAAAAGTACCGCCTACCGCGTCTAGTTTATACGCGTAAACACTTTGAATCCATTCGCGCGTCAAGAGCGAAATTGACGCGCGTAAAAAACAAAAGTTTAGACTGGCTGCCTGCACATTCACTGTCCTCGCGGCTGCGGCTGCTGAAACTTGAGGGGGCTGGCTGCAGGACGACTCAACTTCCACGGACAGTTTTTAATGTTTTATATTAAGATTTTGCTTTAACAAAAGTTATAAAAGTTTAGTATAATTTTCGGGACAATTAAGGCCGATTTCGGGATTCGGGACAACATCTTAGATTTCGGGACTGTCCCGAATTTTTCGGGACTTCTGGTCACCCTAGGCGTGTGAGCGTGTGAACCAGTTGAATTGCGTGTGTCTCACGGCCAATGCGTGAGACTTGAGAACCCTGGCCTTCCCCTTGAAACAGAGTGTCGGAGGCTTCCGGTCTGAGCATGTAACGAGTAGACGTGTGAGAATTGGCTCCCGAATTACTTTTTATTTTCTACCTCATTTTTTCGACATAAAGTCTGGCGCACCTTGAGTTGATTACGTGTACGTTAAGGCATAACTTTGCACAACTAAATGAGACCAAAAAGATGTGACTGAGGGCAAAAAACGACCGAGATGGACGAAAATGCCGCAAGTGAAGACAACATGGCTACACAAGCTAGCCCAAGCTCGGAGTTACCTGCTGATCTTCAGGGGCGGATCTACAGGGGGGCAAGAGCCCCCTAGAGCCTCACTCTAGAGCAGTGGTCTCAAACTCGCGGCCCCTACTTGACATTAAAGTTTAATGTTAGTGCGGCCCGTCGTTGCGTGTGCCGCGTTTTAAAAAAAAAAAAATATATTTTTTATCCCTTATGGGCTACCATAGATAGTCTCATGACAGCTTACGGTGGGTTTGTTGTCAATAGTTGTCATAGACAACCGCGAAGTACAAACTTACTGCGCCTGGAAAAAATGAGCGCGTCACTTATGAGCGTGCTTGCCGCGTGCCTACATTTGAAATAACGAACTTGAGCAAGCAAAATATGTGAGCGCGATATGTGAACATGCCACGAGCTACTGGTAGCTCGCGAGCGACGTGTTGGAGACCCCTGCTCTAAAACAATGTGAGAATAATCATTTTGAGCTTGTAATATGTGTCCAGCAGGTTGATAAGAAGGTTTGTTTTGATTTGTGCAAAGTCAGTAATTTGCCTGAGACACTATACATGTGTAAAAATAATTAAATAAGGCTGAATTCACATTTAGCGCCCAAAAACGCGTAGAAAACGCTAGGCGCGCCGCGTTCTCCTTTTTCCAAAGCGCTAGGGCGGTTGCCGTTGATATGCTTGCGGCATTCTGAAAAGTTGAGATGTTTGTATCTCGATGCGGCGCGCACGCGCTTGGAAAAAACGAGCGCGTCGCACCACGACCATTATGAGCGCGCATACCGCGCACCTACATTTGAAATAACGAACTTGAGCGCGCAAAAGACGCGATATGTGAACAGGTCCTAAGACGGGCAGACATGACTGCAAATATTTGTATTTCAAAAGCAATAATCGTTTTTCTAAGTATAATAAAAGGAAATGTGCCTTCCAAAAAAAAACCATTCAATATCATTAATGTGTTGTATAAAGAAAATAAAAAGGACATAAGCAAATATAAGTATCAAAAATATGTGTTATAAGGAAAAGAAAAAGAATGTTTGTAAAATGAAGTATCACAAAGATTTTGTGTATAAGGAAAATGAACTTCAACTGTCAGAAGGACAGCTCATGAAGATTGGATCAGTTGTGCTCCTTTTTTGGAATACTTGAATACTATTTTTTGTGGAATACTTGATGCGGCCCAGCCTGACCCCGACTCTACCTCCAGCGGCCCCCAGTTAAGTTGAGTTTGAGACCCCTGCTCTAGGGCCTCCCCAGCTGCCCCCCTAACTCTGATGATCCAAAAAATGTACTTGTAAAAACAACCCGCCACTATGTCCACAAGCTTCTCAAAACAGTGAAATAAACAATACGTTTACCAAAAGTGAACAATTAAATTTTTGATTTTAAATGAATTATTAGCCCCTCCCCCTGGCTCACAGCCTCACACACACACACACACACACACACAGCGAGTCTGCTGTTGTGCGGTGGCCCTGCAACCAGACTGGAGAGACTGAGCTGCCCTAGAGCCTCTGAAGGTGAAGTGAGTTTCCCCCAGGTGTAGTTTAAACACGCGTTTAACTTAGTTACATTTGTAATTAATGTATTATGTATGGTAAAGACGATTCTCAGCATCAGAAAAAACAGCGAGTCTATTGCGTTAGCCAAAATCATCGGTCAAATCGCTCCCTCGTGATTTTAAAGAGCACTCTTCCCTTTGATTATCTAATTTAGATTTTAGTAAAGACAAGAACAGCTTAATAAAAAATTTAAAATATTGTTCGGTATCGGCCACAATTTTCACATCGGTGCATCACTATTAAGGAATGTTTTATTTTTTCATTTTTTATTGTATAAGGTTTTGGTTGCTTAAGATAAAAAATTAAACTGGAGAACTGTTTCACTTCCTGTCAAATGTAACATCTTTCATCCTCCAAAAAAAAGATTTATTTAAAAAAAAAAACAGAGTGTCAAGGCGTAGGGGTAAAAATATTCCCCTAAGAAATGGGACACCAGCCAGCGCCTACGTCACAGGACATGCGCCGATGTTTATCACAAACTTCCAAGATGCCGTCGACAGCTGCAGTCATCTCAGTTGCTTGGGTTACAGCTATGTTTTTGCATTTGCCTTGTGAAGTTCGCAAAAAACAACAGAGATGACAATATTTTTGACGCCTAAGTTTGCATGGTGGATCAGGTTTTAAAGAAACGTTGATCGCCAGCTCGAAATGATCGCCGGGGTTTCCTCAGGTGTCCCTGTTTGATAAAGACTACAAGACTGGTTGATCTGATCATGTTGCAAAAAGCACGAAACTGGAAGCACTGTTGGTTTATATCGTGTTCACATAGAACCACAAGAAAACAATGCGTTCATAGCAGATGTACGGTAAAATATAAGCCAATTCCCTTCTGCAATTACATTCACCAGTTATTAGACATGAAAATATGTTGCGGGATTAGCAAACTATAGCAATTTTAGCGTTTCTTTTTTACAAACGTTTCTTTGAAGAAACTGACCGTAAATATGAACACAAGATTGAATGTAACAAAGCAAACCATTATTTGTCGTTAAAATACTTTTTAAAGAAAAAAATTCGTACATTTATGGGTCTCGTTTTTTGCTTGGGCAGCCATTTTGCGTCTGTAGCCGGTAGTGATGTGCGGGTCTGCTTTTTTTCCAACACGCGGGTCCCGCTTTTATGAAATTATTTGGGCCGCTTCAGCCCGCATCGCACCACTGTCTCTATTTTTACAACCCGCCCCGCCCTGCACCCGCGACCGTTAAATAGTAGCTAGGCATTGTAATGTAAATGAAAACAGCCTTTATTTCAGCCTGAAAGTGCTTGGAAACATCGCCCTGTAAACTGGCAACAACAGACGATTATGAATATGAACCAAATCAGGTCATATTAATAAACATTTTCAACATTTACAAAGCAGCGTTTGCATTCATCTAATAGGCTAAACCATTTTTTATTTCTTAGACCCCCCACAAATATGTCTTGACATGCTGGAAGTGCCGTTTTGTGGCGCTACTGTTTGTATATTTTTCACACGAGTTGCAATTCAGGTAGCCGATACTACTGTTGTCTCCTGCTGCAACTACTTCTGAGAACCGTTCCCAAACATTAGATTGTTAATGTTTCTAATGTTTCTAATGTTACCCGCGGGGTCCCCGGGTTACGAGTCGACCCGCGCATCACTAGTAGCCGGTGTATGCAGTGACACTTCTCATTCCCCTTCGTTTGAAGTGTGGTCCAGAAAAATCTTCGTTTGAATGGCTATCTGGCCCTTTCCCCTAGCCCTCCCCCAGCAACCAAAAGAGAATCGAGACAGTCCTACCCCACGTGCACACGTAAAACAGAAGGGAAGGGGAAAGTGAAGGAGTAAGGGGTAGAATTGGGATTGGCCCTTATTCATCTGACTGACCTTCTTGATGAAGTATCCATTGAAGTGGACATCACAGGTGGTCATATGCAGACTCAAGGGAATAATATTAGCCAGTCTCTGGGTTTCATGAATCACAGCGTCTGTATACGGTAATTTCTTTCTATCTTCCACCACTGGCTGACGTCCACCGATCACTCGGTCAATCTCCTCATGAACTCGATCTGCACACAAATGCAACGTATGTTTTTTTTTCCAATGGACACCATTGAACTCAGCATTAAGAAAAAACTCTTGGCATTACTCAGTTTTTTACCCTGTATATGAGGGTATTTGGCCATGAGCATCAAACCCCAGCGCAGAGTCGTTCCCGTCGTGTCAGTACCAGCGATAAACAGATCTGTCACAGTCATCATTAGATTCTCATCGTGAAAGTATGAGTTCTTCATACAGGATTGCTGACAAGCAAAAATACATTCAAAATGCTCAATTAAACTTGTAATAATTAGAAAACTGAAACATAAAAAAAAAACATTTAAGACCCAAAATCCAATAGGACATGCAAACTTTGGAGGAAAGAAACAGAAAAGTTTTTATTTTTTTCATTTCTGAAATGTTACTTTTGGCATATGATGCATCAAGGATTGAAAAAGTCAAGAGATTTTACTAATTGGACTACCAATCTCTGTGTAAAAATAATAATGATGCTACCATGTTTTTAATACTCAAAATCTTAGGTTACAATTGTCATTTTGATCGCCCTCTACAAAATAGGGGATTACACAGTAATTATATATGTATATACACATACATACACACACACACACATAGCAAGATCTGATTGCAGCATTCTCTATTTATTCACAAACTCAAATATAACAATGACACTCAGATAAAAAAAAAAAAACATAGAACAACCAACTATTATTGATGAAGACAGAACAAAGACTAACAAAAAACAGGCTCAGTACCAACGGTAATCAAGGTGCAGTGCATTAATCAAACAAACAATGAATGACCATGGTAACAAAAGCTAAAAAAGGAAACAGAACAGGAAACCAATAAGAATACAACTGAAACTCAGACAAAATGTGATAGTAACACTTTACAATAAGATCCAAATAGTTGATGTTAGTTAGTTAGCCTTAACGTGAACTAACCATGAGCAATACCTTTGTTAGAGTAATTCATCTTTTTTTTATGTAAGCACTGACTAGACGACTTTCAAATCTTAACCAATTTTAAAACTGTGGGGGACCACAGACATAAGGGCAGTTCTTAACCGATTTTTAGCATTATAATCTTCTGAATGCACACACTCGAATATTCGTCCCGGACCGCGAGACCACACACCTGTCGATTGTAGTAACATTTTCACAGTGAGACGATATCTCATGGTCATGGATCAAACGTGACTTGAGAAAAACAAATGGAGGACGATGGCGAGAGTTTTGTTATAGGCTAAAGGAATTTCTCAATACTCCACTTTTGTGGCTTGTTTGTGGCTGCCAAGTTTCAGCTATAGAAGCACGCAACATCTGGTGGGTTAGGTTTGCTCGCTCTCATTGGCTATCGCGGGTATCACATCAGAGGCAGCCCTGATCACGAGTCATGAGAACATCATTTGATATTTATGATTTGAGATTGTGCGGGCTCCGACCCGATCAGGGGCAGTAAAATAATCGTAACGACACCACATAATTGAGGATTTTTTGGACAAAAAGTCGTTTGTGAGAAACCTTGAATCGGGTCACACACCCCAGATCAGTGGGGGCGCAAATCAGGCCCAAAATCAGGCTTAAAATCTTCAAGTGTGTGGCCAGCCTTAGGAAAAATACAACTGTTTATTGTTAGCTCATGTTTAGTTCATGTTAACCTGTGGCTTATTAAATAATATTCACTTTTAATTTGAATGTGTTTATAAATGTTGAAATTAACATCAACTATGATTAATAAATGCTTTAGAAGTATTTTACATTGTTAGTTCATCTTAAATTAACTAATGTTTACAAAAGGAACCTTATTGTAAAGTGTCACCAATTATATTTAGTTTTAGCATCTTTTGTGCATATTTAATTTTCATTTAATAACTATGCCTAATAATTAATTAAATAATTGTGTTTATTAGTCAAAGCTGATGATTACTTTTTATTTTCTCCTGTATTTCTATGGAACAAGGTGATTTCTGTACCTCGTCGCTCTGTTTGCGGATGAGAAAGGTGTCGACAATCCCTCTGCGGTCGTGTGGATTCAGAGTCTCCAGCAGTCCAGTGAGCAACTTCGTCATTTCTGCTTTATGTTTCAACGCATTTCTTACAATAATCCTTTTGCTGTTGAGGAACGGACCCAGCCACGGAAATATATTATAAAGCTGCAAGTACACACAGAGAAAAAAATGCATGTATTAAAGGGTTAACGTTAGTTCACCCAAAAAGGAAAGTTCTGTCGGTAATTACTCACCCTCATGCCGTTCCAAACCCGTAAGACCTTCATTCAACTTCGGAACACAAATATTTTTGATGAAATCCGATGGATCGGGTGGGGCTCCATTGACAGCTATTTAATGAACACTTTGAAGGTCCAGAAAGGTAGGAAAGACATCATTAAAATAGTCCATGTGACTACAGTGGTTCAACCTTAATTTTATGAAGCGACGAGAATACTTTTTGTGAGCAAATAAACAAAATAACGACTTAATTCAGAGAGCACCACGACGCATGCGTTTGGTTATGACGCAGGAGCTGGCGTTCTGACATGTGACCAGGAAACACAGGGCTGTGTTTACAAGCAGAAGAAGACGCACGCGAGGTCACGCATACGTCATGGTGCCCTCATGAACGTGCGTCGGAGACTGATACGAAAGAAAAGAAATTGTTGAATAAAGTTGTTATTTTGGCGCCAAAAAGTATTCTCGTCGCTTCATAAAATTAAGGTTGAACCACTGTAGTCACATGGGCTATTTTAATGATGTCTTTCCTACCTTTCTGGACCTTCAAAGTGTTAAGTAAATAGCTGTCAATCGGATTTCATCAAAAATATGTTAACTTGTGTTCCAAAGATGAACGAAGGTCTTACGGGTTTAAAACAACATGAGGGTGAGTAATTACTAACAGAATTTTAATTTTTTCCTTTAACGATTAAAAAAAATGAAGTCACCAAAAATACATTAAAACATATTTCCATACCATCATAGAAGCCGATCCCAAAATCCGAACACTTTCATTTGCCCTGTCGACCATTTCTGTGAATTGAGGGTCTGTGTATTCAAATCTGCTGCCGTACACAATAGATGAGATGATGTTTGACACAGCGTAGTTCACGGGCGTTGTTGTTTCGAAGGGTTTCCCTGTGAAGAGAAAACAAGTGTCTCTCAACGGATCCTTTAAACTAAGAGCATGATTGCAGATGTCCATAAATGTGTTTCAGCTTGTACCTTCAAACTTATCAAACTCTCCTTTCAGATACTGAATTTCCTCTATGATTTTCTCTTCACTTCCTCTCTTGCCCATCCCGAAGTCCCGCAGGTTGCTGAGAGCGAAGCGTCGCATCTCTCTCCAGTTCTCTCCATTGGAAAAGAGGATTCCTGATCAACACAGAACATCTGACCGTGAGTCTCAGCAACAACACAAGCAGAAAATGATTACTTTGTGAGTTAAACATACATTAACCTTAGATTTTTGGGATAATGCATATAATCAAGCTTACACTGTATGTCAAGTTAATAAGCTACAAGTCAATTCACCACTGACTACACTGTAAAATCCAACAGTTGTTCTAAAAAATACTTTTTAGTTAACTTTACTCAATGTCTTAATTGTAAAAAGTTCTATAATCTGTACTATTCACATACTATGACTTTTTAACTCAGAAAACCCAAGTTAAGATTAATGTATTGGTTTGAGTGACACTTTGTCAAGCAAAAATAGTTTTAAGGCGGGCAATTCTTAATAGATGTTTCACTTGTTTCCTCACTTCTGCAGTTATCTCACTCATTTCCCAAAGTCATCTTGAATGTTGAATTGTCAATATAGTGACAAATTTGAGAGAACATCACATAAGCTAACTCCATAAATTGATGTTGATTTTCTTAAAATGTTTTTGTTTGAAGTTACTCACCATTATGGTTATTAATTCCCTGCAACTTCATTTATATTATTGGAATTCTCTTCATATTGATGCAGTGATGCAAAATCACAGTTAATTGGTATTCTGCATGCAAAACAAAACAATGGAAACAATGAAATGTTATTTATTTTTATTAATTGTAACAATAACGATTTTTTAAAGCAAATAAAACAACATCATAAAATAAATCAATTGTATATTAGACCCTTTTCACAGATGACATGTTTAATAATAATAATAATAATAGTAATAATAATTTGTTACATTTATATAGAGATTTTCTGGGTACTCAAATTGCTTCACACATGGAAGGGGGAATCTCCTCAACCACGACCATGAGCAAATGTAAATTTGTCACTACACACTACTATTCCTATTTCACCTGTTTTTTTTTTAACAATCAGTTTGCATGTTTTTTTTAAGTAAGTCTAACTAATTAGATTTTACAGTATATTTATAAATGTATATGTTACTTAAAAATATATATAAAAAAACTATTTTGTCACCAAATATTGCTGGGAATCCACATATACTCCTTGTTTAAAGATATAGCACACATTTCCAAGCCAACAAAAAGGCATTTTTAGATTTTTCATGGTTTAAGTAAGTTGTTCACGCCCAAATATTTTGTGCTTGTTTATTATGAGCTCATATTATTGTCAAATTTAATGAAAACACATTTATTCTTCAGTAGTTAAACCCAATTACATTAGCCTGGAGAGGCCACGAGGAACTGAAAGGATTTGCAACATGTTTGTTTTTCAACATGTCTAGTATTTACAGTTTGTTCTGTACATTACGTTTCTGTACATTCATTAGAGTTGAAAAAAACAACAACAAAAAATCCTACCATGTTCGTTGTGCGTTATCCTGAAACCAGGGTCAATATATCGGTCGCTGAACTCTTCTGCATAGTTCATGAGAGCCTCTTTGACAGTTTTGTACCCAATTAAGACAACAGTTTTTCTGGGACCCAAAAACACTTGGAATATGTTTCCGTGGGTTTTGGACAGCTGAAGGACACAGAGAAAGACATTTACAAACAAATCTTAAAATGTTAGACCACTATTCATTTTAAACGTATCAAGTTCCCACCTCACAAAAGGAGTCAAAGGGTCTCTCGAGGTCAAGGGTCAGCAGGTTCCCCAGCAGCGGCAGAGGTTTGGGTCCCGGTGGCTCTTTTCCCTCTTTCTGAGATCTGGATCCAGAGGAAAGCAAATACAAAACCAGAAGCAACAGCAACGCGCCCAGTAATGTACCTGTGCTGAGAAACTGCAGAAGTGACTCGATTACAGCCATTTTCTCTCTAAGCTTCTGAACTGATGCACTCGCACATTTATAAATGCATTTACAGAGCAGGATTCTTTATTGAGAACACAAGCTGTTGGTAGCTGCAGTCATCAAGTCTGATTAAAGGGAACTTTACATGGTATCTTATAGGCATTCAGTGGGCAGTCCTTAAAGGTGTTGACCTTACACACAGCCTTAGAAGTGCCTGCTGAAACAAAAGCATCTAAAGACAATACAGAAAATCACCCCTGGTTGTGAAACTCCAGCAGACCTATCTCAAAAGATTTCAATCAACAGGATCAATGGGTTTGACAATATTATCAAACGGTTTGAGCACCATCTGGTTACGAGGACTATAAGATTATGTAAACATTAACACATAGTTTGACTCTCAGTAGGAAGATCGAAGACTGACAAACCCCCCTCACTGGAAAGTCTATCAGTAAACTGATGCCATCATGTTCACCTTGAATGCCAAATACAGTGTAGTTCACCTTAGTTTTTTATGTGATGCTATGTCAGGATATAGGATCAGCAGATCTTAAACCGATTCTTAAATTTGTCATTCCATAGCAGACACCCCTCATCACAACAGGAGTCCCCTTTCATCTGCCATGATGAAAAGGACAGGACTCTAAAACTCACACCTCCAAAAGAAGAACCACAATCAAGGAACTAGGTGGGCTAGGAGATAAGCCAGCAAAGACAATTGCCAGGTACCATTTGTGGAAGGGAAGAATGATGATATTAGCATGTCATTGACACAGACTGATCTCATCACCATTTGTCCATTGTTCACCCCAGTCCCTCAGTCCTGAGACCAAGGTGTGAATGACCACTGACTCTCAGGTGTCCCTAATGTCATTGTCAGTGGCCCACAGTTTTGCGCTGAGGAGTTTTCATTTTTCCTGAAGGCAAATGGGGTGCAACATATCCGCTCTGCGCCCTATCACGACTCTAGTAATAAGCAAGCTGAACGTTTTGTCCAAACACTCAAACACACTCTAAAAGCTTCCAGAGGTTCAGCTCCAATCCAAAAGAGACTTGATGGATTCCTGTTAACATACAGGAACACTTCACATGCTACTACAAAGGAGTCACCTGTAATGCTTTTCCTCGAGCGCAAACTACGAACCCAGCTGGATCTTCTAAAACCTAGTCTCGCCAAAACACAGTGAGTCAGTCCCAGAATGCTCAGTAGTTTCGACACCAAGAACACTCTAAGTTGAGAGAATTTTGTGCTCCGTCCTTGTTCGTGACTACAGGAAAGGAGAAAAATGGAAGAAATGGAGAAATTCATGTGTAATAGTTTGAATAAGATGTGCTCGCAAAACTGTAGTTAAAGTTGAATTCAAGAAAGTAAATACCCCTTTGTTGTGAACGACCACCTTTGATTTAAGTTAGGAGGAAATGTTATGCATTTACATAAGACAACAATTGCAGGACAACCCAGTTTCTAATGCTTTAGGTGGCGCTGTGTGATTGCGTATACTTTGAAATCGGAAAAGTAAAGTTTAAAGGAGAACTCCGGCGCAAAATGAACCTTTGGTCTAATTACACATTGTTACCTAGTCAACCGTTATCTGAGATTTGTTTTCATGATTATCGAATGTAAATAGTTTTATCTCTAAAAACAGTTTAGCCTATAAAGCTAGTATAACGCTAGTATATTGGGCATAGTGTAATGACAAATAAAAATCGCTTGTTAATACCACTAACAAGGCTCAAAATAGCCCCACACTAACACGGTAGCATAATGAGGGTCCCTACCTTCAAACCGAAGCATTGAGAACTTTGTCAGTGTACAGACAGTTTAATAAGAAGATATTTTAAACATACAGTCAACTTCGCGTATACAGACAGGAGCCATCTTTGAAATACAGCCTTTACCAGTCGATCTACGAACGCCGATCCAAGCCTGCTGTTCGCGCTCACCTTATCACAAATCATAGCTCGTTCACATCTCACCAGCGCACTTGGATCGGCGTTCGTAGATCGACTGGTTAAGGCTGTATTTCAAAGATGGCTCCTGTCTGTATACGCGAAGTTGACTGTATGTTTAAAATATCTTCTTATTAAACTGTCTGGACACTGACAAAGTTCTCAATGCTTCGGTTTGAAGGTAGGGACCCTCATTATGCTACCGTGTTAGTGTGGGGCTATTTTGAGCCTTGTTAGTGGTATTAACAAGCGATTTTTATTTGTCATTACACTATGCCCAATATACTAGCGTTATACTAGCTTTATAGGCTAAACTGTTTTTAGAGATAAAACTATTTACATTCGATAATCATGAAAACAAATCTCAGATAACGGTTGACTAGGTAACAATGTGTAATTAGACCAAAGGTTCATTTTGCGCCGGAGTTCTCCTTTAAGTTGTAAGTGCCTCCATCGTGTTATTGAAATCTATAGCTCCATAGAATATAATAATATTCTAATAAACAACAAATGCAATCACAAGTAATATACACAATATGTTTTTTAAAAATCTGATTATCACAACAGTGCTGGATCTATTGCCATCATATCATAGTGCAGGTAATGCAATATTTAAACATGTTTAAACACAACACAACACATTTTTGAGCAGTGATAAACCTTGGGAGGAGATCTATGCAAAAGGATACTTAATGATAGTGCTGCTGATGATGATGATGATGTCGCAATTACAGTTTTTATCGATTGTTTAAACACTATAACCAGGCTTTTGAACTAAAATTTCAAAACTATAATGCCATTTATCAAAAAGCACACCCATTTCACTGAACTATGAACACTATTCCCCTGTTTTGACACATTAGCCAGATTTGTTGAACTGTTACAGCAAAACTCTACACACAAATCCCTTCATTTCTCATTGCCTACGCCACATGGTCATTTAGAAAGCACTAGCATTCAATATTGTTCACTCGAGTCAGCTCAGCTTCAGCTCAGTTAGCACACAATTACCCAGGTGAAAATACTAAGAGTCAAAATTGAACACATATCAGTCAGATAAGGATCTGACTGATGAGTGTTCAATTTTGACTCTTAGTGTAGATAGATAAACAATTAGTAAACAACAGTTAAACAACAGTAGATAGACAATTTTGACTCAATAGATAGATAAAAGGTTATACAATATTTTATAAAAGATAAAAATCAGTTTACTGAGTTTTGGAACAATGGATCCACAGAGAAATTAAGCAATAGGTCGAGGAAGAGGAGGAGGGAGAGGAGGAAGAGGAGGAGGGAGGGGAGGAGGAGGAGGAGGAGGAGGAGGAAGGGCAAGAAGACAAGCAGTCTCGGATGAAATTCAAGCCACTTTAGTACTTGTCCATGGTATGACTATGAGGGAGGCTGGGCAACGAGTACAGCCAAATTTGAGTCACTTCACCGTCGCCTCCATAATCAGAACCTTCAGGAAGGTGTGGTGGCAAACAAATTTCTATCACTGAAGAAGAGACAATGGGGGGACCACAAGCAACATGACTTACCAGTTTTGGAAATGTTGTTTTGAATTTATAGCACCAGTCTGTAAGACTATGTTGTTGTGTGTGTATTTTTGAGGGCTTGTGTGTCCTGTCTGAGGGCAAAGTTTGGTTTTTCAGCAAGAGTGAATGGTTTTGAGTGTAGAGCTTCATTTTGACCTGAAAATAGGATGTTTGGGGAATTGGGTGAGACGTTATGGATTTGTGTTTACTGTTTTGAGAATACGAGGCATAGTTTCAAGAAATGTGTTTAAGCAATCGAGAAAACTGTAATAAGAATCCAACATCAACTGATCACATTTTCTCTTGCCATAATAAATGTAATTTGTAAACACACAGCCAGAGAAAAACAGTTTAAAAATTCAAGGGTCAAAATTCTAACTAAAGCAAACACTTTTCAAACTAAACATTTTCAATAAACATTGATATTTAAACTTTTGTTACCTCTCAATAAGAACTTCTGTATAAATATAACAGAAAGTCAAACTGGTGTCTAATAAATGATGCTAGTAATGCTGTTTGCTGGGTTGTTTAAATTTCTTCTGCTGAGATCTTAAAAGATTTATTCGTGTTTAATGTTCTGTTGAGTTTTGTGGGTCAGCCTTGTGCTGAAGAGTAGAGCCTGTGCTTCAGTCCAAGAGAAGACCAAGAAACATTGATAATATGCTCCATGTTCCTTTGAACAGAAATTACTGTATTGCAGTGATGTTTATTAGATATTTTATACCTATTTTTTCTTATATCACTTCTTAATTCAAATACACAAAGTATTTGAACAGTATTTGCAGTTTAATAAAATGTAAATAAATGCGCGGTCCAACACTCTTTTGTATGTCTTTGAAATGAACAACTTACAACTTTGAGTAAAACATGCTTGTGAAATTTAAGGCAATCAGTTTCCATATAGATGTTATTCGATCTACGTCACCAGTGTTCGCGGAGGCCATGTTGTTGACATAGAAATTACGGCAACTATCAGTCTGTCAATTGACAAGCGAGGCAGCGTCGGTATTATCGCTGTATTTTTTTTTTTTAAAACAGCGCGATGGTATGTTGTGTCATACACGGCTGTTCTAACAACAGCAATAAGAACCCCAGAGTTAGTTTTTATGCGATACCGACTGTCAGAAAACATGAAGGGAAGGAGACAGAGGAGTTGAGCCAGCGCAGGAGAGAATTGTGGCTAGCTAGGATAAATAGGCTAAACTTTCAGCCAACTCCCCACAGCAAAGTCTGTTCCAATCATTTTACCACAGGTAATGTTACGGATGCCTCACAGCAAAGTCTGTCCCCATAATTTTATCACATATGGTTAGCTGTAAGCAGTGGCTGAAACCGCTCTTTCAAATTTGAGGAAGCTGCCATAAATTGAGACAATTATTAAATTAGTAAATACGATATTGTCTTTTGTGGGCTTAAGTTAGCCAGATCCCCGAAACACAATTTATACCTACACTGAGAGTTTTCAGGCATGATTTTGTTACAGCGCTCCTAGTAAAAGTTAGTCTGGACTTCATTGAAGCTGGTAGGAGAGACAGGTCAGACAGGAAAGGCTGAGAGAGC